TTATATTATTTCCAAAAGGAGAGTGAAAATGAATAACAATTGGGGAGGGGGAGAATTGAATGATGTAAAATATTAGACCTAAAAAAAACACAAGCAGAGAGAAGACAGAACAGAAAATATGGAACAAGTAGAAAATAGTAATATGTAAAGATTTAAACCCGTATATATCACAAATTGCTTTAAATATAAATGGACTAAATACTTCCATTAAAGACAAGTATTAAATTAAACCAGAATTTAGGAAAAAAAAAAAACAATGTATGCTACTGATAAGGGGTACACCTTCAATATAATAATTTAAAAACAGAAAAAAATATACTACATTAATTCTAACCAAAAGAAAGCTGGTCTAGCAATACTCATACCAGGCAATGTAGACTTTAGAGTAAGAGGCACTACTTTAGATAAACAGAGTTTTCATAATCATAAAAAGGTCAATTCACCTGGAAGATGATAAGAACTTTAAATTTGGGTATACCTGGTAACAGCCACAAATTTATATAAAGCAAAAAATCAATAGAACTGAAAGGAGAAATAGACAAATTGATAATAATGGTAGATTTTACCATAATTCTCCAGAACTGATAGAGCAAGCAACAGAAAATCAGTAAAGGTTTAGAAGATGTAAACAACGCAACCATTGGTATATATAGAACACTTCATGAAACAAGTCTAGGATACGAATTATTTTCTAGTGTACATGGAACATTTAGCCAAATTGCTCATATCCAGGGTCATATAATTCTCAACAAATTTCAGAAGATTGTAATTCAGAATATGTTCTCTGACCACAGCGAGATTAAACTGGAAATTAATAAAAAGATAAATGTCTCCAAAGATTGAAAATTAAGTAGTATACCTCTAATGACCCATGGCTAAACTAGAGAATACGTGAAATTAGAAAATGTTTTTAACTGAAAAATAATGAAAATATAATGTATTAAGACATGAGATTTAATGAAAGCTGTGCTTAGGGCAAATTTATAACCTCAAGTGCACTTAAAAATAAGAAAAGCGTAAAATCTGTTCTCTAAATATCCCTTCTAAACAGTTAGTAAAAGAACAAGAAATTGAAGTTAGAAGGAAGGAAATAATCAAGATAAGTAACAACTAATGAAATAGAGGGAAAGTGTACAACAAAATCAACAAAGGCAAAAGTTCTTTGAAAGGAACCTCCCCCTTGGCAAAGAATGTTCAAAGACAAAAAGAATAGGCACGACTTCCCAATGCTGGGAGGTAAAAAAAAAAAAGGTCTCCAGATCCCATGGACATTTCAAGAAATATTTTTTGAAAAATTTTATGTGAATTTGAGAAACAAAACCTACAAAACTGACACAAGAAGAAAAGAAAATGTAAGCAATTGTATAGCTATTGGATAAATTGAATCTGTAATGAAAAATCTTCATGCAAAGAAGGCTCCAGACCTAGATGGCTTCACATTTGAATTTTAGTAAACATTTAGAAAGAAATAATACTAATAATACAGAAACTGTTTCAGAAACTAGGAAGAGAGAACACTTCTCACTTTTTTTTCAGTGAGATCAGCATAACCTTGATCTTAAAGTCTGACAAGGACATTATAAGAACAAAGTTAATTTGGCCAATCAATCTCATGAACATAGACATTAAGCTTATAAGCATCACAATTAAGTTTATTAAACAATGGCAAAGCTGGCTATTTCCCACCTTAAAAAAATAAAGGAGAGGGGCCGGCCCTGTGGCTGAGTGGTTAAGTTCGAGTGCTCTGCTTCAGCGGCTCAGGGTTTTGCAAGTTCGGATCCCAGGCATGGACCTGGCACCGCTCATCGGGCCATGCTGAGGTGATGTCCCACATCCCACAACCAGAGACACTCACAACTAGAATATACAACTGTGGAGTTGGGGGCTTTGGGGAGAAAAAAGAAGAAAAAAAAGAAGAAAATTAGCAACTCTTGTTAACTCAAGTGCCAGCGTTTAAAATAAGAAAAAAAAATAACAGTTTAAAAAAATAAAAAAGGAGAAAAAAATCGTGATTATATCAAAAATGCAGGAAAAAGTCAATACTCGTTCGTAATAACAATTCTTAGCGAACTAAGAATGTAAGGGAAATTTTTTAATCTAATAAAGGATATTTACATAAAACCTACAAAAAAGTCTTTCTTAAAATAATGAAAGTTTTTCCCTGAGATCAGGAATCAGAGAAAGATGCCTTCTATCACCATTTCTTATCAACATTGTCCTAGAGGTTCTAACCAGTGTAATAGGCCAAGAGACAGAAAGGGTATATCAGCTGCAAAGGAAAAAATGAAACTGCCATTATTTGCAGATGACATTGACCTACTAGAATTAATAAGTGAGTTTACCAGGTTTGCTGGAAACAAAGTCAGTATATAAATATCAGTTTCAGTTCTCTATCCTAGAAATAATTAGAAAATGAAAAATTTAAAACTGCCGTTTACAATAGCATCTAAAAACATTGAATACCTAGGAGCACATTCAAAGAAAGATGTTAGTATTTAGAGAAGTATAAAACATTAAAATTAAAGAAGACCTAAAATTAAAGAAGACCTAAAGATAAACCATGTCCACTGATTAAAGAGCCAATATTGTAAAGATAGGGGTTTTGATTGATCTGTAGATTCAACATAATCATCATCAAATCCCAATCCCAGCAGGCCTTTTTTCTTTTTAGCCCTAGAAATTGAGATTTATGTGAAAATGCAGGAGTCAAGACTAGCTTAAGAGAATTTTGAAGAACAGCCAAAGTAGAAGACTTATACTATCAGATATCAAGAAATATTATCAAAGAGTTACAGTAATTAAGACAGTATAGTTTAATGCAAGGATAGAGAACTAGATCAGAGTAGGGAATCCAGAAACGAACCCATACATGTATGAACAGAGGTGATGTATGTTACCAAGCAGTGGGGGAAAATGATGTTTTCCAGGAAATGTTGCTGGGACAGTGGGAGCTCTATATGGGGAGAAGAAGAAACTTGATCTTACACCATCCAAAAAACCAACTGCATGCGAATTATTGATCTAAATGACACTCCAAGAGGGTAACGTAAAAGAGACTCTTCAAGACTGAGGCAGGCAAAAATCTTCTTAAACTGAACGTAGAGAGCACTAGCCAAAAAGGAATAGAAAGATAAATTTGGGTTATATTAAAATTAAGTCAAAAACACCATTAAAGCAGTGAAAAGGGAAGACAAAGACTAGTGGAAGATATTTGCAATTTAAATAACTGAAAAAAGACTTATCCACTATGTATAAAGAACAAACATATCAATAAGGAAAGAGAGATAGCCAAGTAACACAAAGTGCCAAACGGTCGTACAAGAACTTTACAAAAGAAGATATCCAAATGCCATTAAAAATATTAAAACATGTTCAACTTCAGTCTTTGAAAAAAATGCAAAATAAGATCAGAATGAGACATCACTACATAATCTATCAGAATAGTTTAAATGAAAAAAAAATGGCATTACCAAATGTTGACAAGAATATAGAACAGTGGGGGGCTGGCCCAGTGGCAGTTAAGTTTGTGTGTTCCACTTTCACAGGCCGGGGTTTGCCAGTTCAGATTCTGGATGCAGACCTATGCACCACTTATCAAGCCATACTGAGGCAAGCATCCCACATATAAAATAGAGGAAGATAGGGCACAGATGTTAGCTCAGGGCCAATCTTCCTCAGGAACACCGGAATGTGCACATAAAAGTAAAAATTAGTACTACTTTGAAGACTGCTTGACAATATTTACTAATACTGAAACTCTTATATCTTATGACCCAGCAGTTTGAACCCTAGGAATATAACCAAGAGAAATGCATACAAATATGTGCCAAAAGGCATGTACAATAATGTTCACATCAGCTTTATAATACAAAGCTGAAAACTAACCCAAATGTTCCTTAGCAGTGGAATGACTAAGTTGTATACTCATCTTATGGAATGTTAAATAGTAATGTGCATCAAGTACACACAATAAGAATGACTCTGAAAAACAATGTTGAGTGAAAGAAGCCAACGTAAAGTAATATATACTGTACAATTCCATTTATATAAAATTTAAAACAGTCAACCTACTTGTGGTGTTAGAAATTAGGGTAGTAGTTATCTTTGGGAAAGGATGAGTGGGTAGTGACTGGGAAGAAACACAGAGGGACTTCTTGAGTTCTGATAATCTTCTGTTTCTTGATCTGGATGGTGGTTGTGTGAATGGTTCACTTTGTGAAATTTTGTCAAAATGTACACTTATGATTTGGCAGTTTTCTGTTATTATTCAATAAAGGTTTATTTTTTTAAAAAGCAGATAACACATAGCCTATTGATCCAGCTCTCCCATTTTTGGATTCTGTCCTGTAGGAAGAAAAGCACCTCTCCCTAAAGAAATATGTAAAAAGATTTGTGAACTATGATATGTTAGATGGTAGGGTGTTTTATCGCAGCATTGTGTGTAGTACCAAAAGTGTACATTATTGAGAGTGTTGTTGAATAAATCACGGAGTATCCATTCTGTGTAATGTTACACATTTATTTTAAAGAAATTTTATATGTACATAAGTTTTTGTATGAGCCTGGAGAAAAGAGTGGAAAGGCATATTATTACCTGAGCTGGGAGTAGAATTAGTAGCCAGTGCAGCCAGTTACTGAGTTTTTCTTGATACACCTTTGTTAACCATTTCTTAGATGCTGCTCTTTCCGCTGGTCCTTGTGGCAACTCATCGTGTTGACAGTAGACTCTTTCTTGCCTTCAATTTCTGTTATATTATGATATTCAGCTAACTGCAGCCACTGATTGGACCATAAATGATTATGGCTTATAGCAAGAAGAGAAGTAATGGAAAGAATTTTAAAGAGAACCTGGGCGTTTCTGGATAATATGTGACTCATAGAATTGGCAGTGCATGGCTTTATCATGGGTACTGTCAAAAAGGATTATAATCACAAGCCAAAGTCATATGAAATATATTTATTCCTAATATTAGTGATCTGGCTTATTTCTTTCTTTCAAGCGAGAGCAAGAAAGTCAAATGGCTCGTCTTAAAAAACAGCAAGAAGAATTGGAACAGATGAGACTACGTTACCTGGCTGCTGAGGAAAAAGATACAGTAAAAACAGAGCGACAAGAATTGTTGGATATAAGAAATGAATTGAACAGGTATAATAACCAGAAAATTACATTTCTTTATTCATACAAAAACAAAAGTTCTAACAGGACAACCTTTTAGTTGGTCATTGGTCTGGGAAAAGGACAATGTCAGGTCTTTCAAGAATAAACTAGATTAAACTAGAATAAATAAATAAAGTGTAGCTGACTTATAAAGTAGAAAGTCTATGCCAAAGGCCATTACAGTCAGATTTTTTGCTTTGAATGCAGCTGTAGCAAATCTATGTAGCTTTTTTGCTTCCGTTGATAGCATACTTGAAATTTTATTTTTGTGTGACTATTTCAGGATTATTGCTAGTATTTCAAGGTAATTGGTTATACTGAATATTTAATTACATAAAATGTAAGAAATTTCAAGTTTAGTTTTATTTTAATTTACTGAGCCCTTACTATGTCAGGAGCTATTTTAAATGCCTCACATGCCTATCTCATTTTTTTTTAATCTTCAAGCAACTTTTTAAGGAAGATATTATCCCCATTTTAGAAATGAAGAAACCAAGAATTAAAGAAAATTTAAGTACCCGTTTCAAGGTCACACAGCTAGTAAATCATGGAGCCAGAGTTCAAATCTGATTCCAGAGCCCATATTTTTAACTACTGTGCTACACTGGACGTCTCTGTAGTGTCACATTCATCTTAGTTACAATTTCAACAGTATTTCATGTTAGAAAATTCATCATTAGGAAGCAGCATAAGAACAAAGTATAGTCCTTTTGGCGGGGAGTTTGAAGGAAGACGTTTTAACTTAGTTTATCAAGGAACTAGTACTTTTGTTTTAACAAAGCATACTGTCTTAGCTTGGGCTGCCATAACTAAATACCATAGATTGGGTGACTTAAGCAACAGAAGTGTATTTTCTCACAGTTATGGAGGCTGGAAATTCTAGATCAGTGTGCCAGCGTGGTTGGTTTCTGGTGAGGACTCTCTTGGCTTGTAGACAGCTTGTTTCCCACTGTGTCTTCACGTGGCAGGCAGAGAGCGAGCTCTCAGAGAGCTCTTCTAGTAAGGGCACCAATCTCATCATGAGGTCCCCACCCTTAAGATCTCATGGAAACCCAGTCACCTCCCAAAAGCCCTGTCTCCAAATACCATCACAATGGGGGTTAGGGCTGCAGCATATGAATTTGGGGGGGGACACAATTTAGTCCATAGCACATACATTTGACAGTATATCCCATGACATCTCCATGTATGAGCTGGGAAAATTCAGTTACTATATTAGGTGGGTTCAGAGCTGAATTAAATCACTGCATTTAGAATATTAATGGATAAATATCAGTTAGAAAAGGTCAAGGTCTATAGTTCTATGCTACAGAGCTCAATTCATGCTATTCTCTTTTTATTCAGCAAATATTTATTTGATGTCTACTATGTTGTAGACTTGGAAGATATTACAAATTAATTAATTATAATATGATCCTTGCCTTCCCAAATTTTGCTGTCAATATGTAGCACTTTTTTGGTTTCGGTGTAGCAAATATATATTTAGCCTCTACTGTTTGCTAAGCACTGTTTTGGTGGCTTAAATAAAGATAACCATTTGCCTATCAAATTTGTAGATCATACAAAATTGAATCTTATCATTAATATCTTAATAAATTAGGAATCAGATGGAACTGAAACCAACAAGATTAAATATATTCGAGACAAAGCTGAGTCCTCTGTATAAATTATAAGAAAAATCTGTGAAGTGATGGGCAAGACATAATAAAATAGTTCATGTGAGGAAACCTAGGAGGATTTAAGTGGCCAGTAATAACAGTGTGCCTTGGCTGTCAAAGAGCCAGTGCAGTTAGGGATCGTCATAGAAGTAGTGGTCAGTACTCAGCACTGGTAAAATCACTTCTGGGGTGTTCTTACCAATGTGCAAAACACTTGAAGGGAAATCAGCTACCCTAGAGAGTTTCCAATGGAATGTGACCAAAAGTGGTTTGGAGAGTGAGGGATATTGAACGCGAAGAGAACCTGCAGGCAAACTATTAGATAGCTATCTTCAAATATCCGGAGGGCTGCCATATTAAACAGAAGCATGTAGGTTATCCTCTTGAACAGAATCAGAAATTTACTGGAAAGTATAAGGATGCATACTGAGTTCAATATAAGAAGGAACTTTCTAACAAAGCAGTTCTACAAAGCAGTAGGTTCCTGGTGACAGGAAGTGTGTTAGTGGAGTCCAGATATAGTGGTTGTCAGGGAAGTAAAGTTTCCTTTGATAACTTTTTAGGCTTCGTCAGCTACAAGATTCTAAAATCCTCTTGTGATTATAGTTGATGATTTGCATTTTAGTAAAGATTTGGTAGGAATCATCTATCAGTTGTGTAAAAATTCTGTTTGTCTTTCATGTATAAATAGAAGAATAAGGAAAATGGTTGAACTCTCTGGTACATACTTTGGTGTTGTGTGTCATTAATTTGCCTAGAGGACCTCTTCCTCCAAGAGAGCTATAAGAATTAGCGTAGGGGAAACAACTGTTTGGAAGTCTTTCTTTACCCATCCACATGAATTGATCAAATTGGTACCAGTATCCCATTAACCACTTGATTTCCACTCCGGTCTCAAAGCACAGTGCCCTCACTATTTAGGCTTGTTTTGTTAGAACAGATGGAGATATTTGGTGTCCTTTTTGGACTGTATACTTTAGTTTCCTGTTCTTTTGTGGGGAATCTTAGGAGTCAATTTGAGTTTCAGAGGGTTGTCTGTACAAACAAAACTGTATCCTACGAACAGTCCTGCTCCTTTATGGGGTCCTCCTTGTCTGTCAGAGCAGGACTATCTCCTTACTGGCTTTTCTTCCCTCTCCCTCACTCCATATGTAAATTCAGAAGTGGATTTGATTCTCATTGGCTTCCTTACTCTAAAGACCATCTAGAAGCAGGGGCTTAGACTCAGCTGCCTTATCTTATTTATAAAGACCAAATTTAGGAGTAGTTGCAAATTTAAGCATTTTTGTACCCAGTTACATAGAGGAGTATAAAGTTCTCTCTTAGTTTAAATTGTAAATTAAATTACAGGCATGTGCCACATAATGAAGGACCACGTATATGATGATGGTCACATAAGATTAGTACCATACAGCCTGAATGTGTAGTAGGCTATAGCATTTAGGTTGGTGTAAGTACTGTAGGGGAGCGAGAAATTTTCCTCTACCTTCCGGATTCTTCCGGCTGGTAAGAATTAAATTGACATGAGACAGATTAACAGGAGAAAAACAAACAAAAGTTCAATAACGTCTATACATGGGAAAACCCCAGGAAAATTGAGTAACTTGACACAGTGGCCCAGGCCTTTACCTTAAATACCATCCTCAGTTAAAGACAAAAGAAGATGTTGGGGTGGGGAGAATCAGGGACTCTGAGGGAAAGTTAGGCAATTCACAGGTAGTGAAAAGGAGCAAAAGTTTAAAAAACAAGTGTTTGGCCACACAGAAACAGAAGAACACAGAAAGGAGCCTAACAAGAAGGCTTTTCTAGGTTCCTCCCCGTCTACCACCTAGTTCATGTTATGCTAAGTTGGTAGCTTGCTTCCTGAGACAGGTATTTTAGTCTGAATTCTTTTAGGCAGTTAAGGGGGAGATGACAAGAAAAACTGAGTCTTTTATTTTTTAAAAATAATCAGCCTAAAGTAATCCTCATGTTAAAGAGACAGCATTTTGGGGTGTCAAGTTTTGTTCCCCTTCAGTACACTCTATGATGTTTGCACAACGACAAAATAACCTAATGACACATTTCTCAGAACATATCCCCATCATTATGTGATGCATGACTGTAAATTAAAACATCCTTCTTGTTCAGTCTTAGCGCTGCTATCACTTAGTAAAGTATACTCTCCATTTTCAAGGCAGTGAGATTAATGATATTCTATTGGAAACGCCCAAATCCCAGGCTAGCACCTGCTCTCCTTTCTTCATCTCCTAGATGAGATCGGCACCAACATTACTTGAAGATATCCATACAGTCTTAAAATGTACGTGCCCTTCTAACCAGGCATTCACGTGTATAGAATTTCACTTTCTGTGATTAGTTAGTCATATAAACTCCATAATAGTAGGGACTTTTCTCCCTGATTTCACTGCAGTATCCCCACAGCCCAGCACTGTGTGGTACAACTAAATATTTGTTGAATGAACTTAGAAAGAATTTTTATGTTCAAAACAACAATAACAACAAAAATTTAATAACAACCTAAAGATCAACAATAAAGGACGATCAAATAATGACACAGCCAAATAGTGGGAGGCATGAAGCTATTTATTTAATGATGTAGGAAAACTTTCATGATATGAATGTGAAAAAAATAGTATATTGCATATGGTATCATTAATTTTTTAGAAAAATAGGTTCTTAAAATATATATGCATATTTTCCATTGAAAAGAAATACAGAAAAGTGTTACTCTGATTTATTGTCTCTGAATAAGTTTACAATGCTTTTGTTTTTTTACACATTTCCAAAATTTCTAGTTTTCATGTATTTTATAATTAGAAAAACAAATATTATTTTTAAAACTGTCTTTTATAAGTTTGCTAACTCTGACTAGCCAAGTGGAGGACTGGTTTTTGTTCCTTCCTGAAAATATTACTAAAACATATTTCACCATTAAATCATTTTGTTTTTAAATGGTGGTGTTAGGAAAACCAAAACAGTATTTGTTGCCTGCTAGAGTGGTTTTGTTCTGGATTTCTCAGGTTAAGGCAACAAGAACAAAAACAGTACCAGGATTCCAGAGAGATTGCAAGTGGAAAAATGGACAGCCCACATGGCAATGCGCTGGAAGAAGGTTTGGATGACTATTTGACTCGACTAATAGAAGAAAGGGACACTTTGATGAGGACGGGTGTGTATAATCACGAGGATCGAATAATAAGTGAACTCGACCGACAGATCAGAGAGGTTTTGGCAAAGAACAGTGCCAGCAATTAATAACATTTGGAAAATCTTTACAGAGACTCCAGGTCTAAATTTTAATTTCGTTGTAAAACCCTCAAAAGAAGGGAAAATGGATGTTTTAAAATGCAATTTTCAATTTTTTATGAGCAGAATTTTGTATGTTATTGTATAGTATTTATTTGATTTTACTTTATGCTACCTCTCCCATGCTGGTTTTATTTGTAATTGCATTTTATATACTCATTTTAAATGACTTTTCAGTGGTTCTCATAATTTCAGGGCTACGTTTCAAAACAGCTTTTCCCTCAGTTTGTTCTAGGAGCAGTGACTACAGTAATTTCCAGTTGTAGAACCTTTCATGTTGAGCCAAAAGAGTATATGTTGCACTTTAAAAATGCTGTGCCCTCTTAATTTGAATATACATATCTTAAAATTTGAGACCTATTGTAAATGTAGCCAGTTTTATTTAACTTATCTTAGATGACCTGTCTTTAACTTGTAATACTTGCAAGTGGCAAGTTTGAAAACAGAAAGCGGATCAATGCAGAGAAGCCATATGATACATTGAATGACAAACTAGTCATTTATTTAAAGTTAATACAAGATTAAACTTTTTTCAAGAGCTATTGAAGTTTTGAATTTTTAGTATACCCTTAACTTTTAAGAATATGAAGTAATAACTTAATAAGGTCGTCTTTGTCAGCCTCTTGCTCAAAATTACATTGTTTTCTTTTGCTCAAAATAGAGATTTCTTTTCATTTTCCAGTAATGGTAATACTAGTTGTTAACTCAAACTCTCTGTAATATAACATGGAAACAGACACACAAAGTCTTCAGCTGGAAAAGCTAGTTTTTACTCCCCTAATTTTAATATGAGATTAAGTCGTTGGATTTATGTAGTGCCATGTCTGTATAAACTTTGAAGAATTCCTTTACATCGTATTCTTCAGAGCCAACGTTTGCCCTTCCATCGCCTTTTACTGCGCCCTGAAAAGGTTTATTAGCAAATTCACAGATTAGGTGAGTCTTAAAATATATGTAGTTTAAAACTTCTGATTCCCAAATATAATAAATTTAGGTATCTACTTTAGGAAGTGTGTACTATTTACTGATAACTTCCATAAAAGCAGAATAGGCTATTGGTAACATTAATTTTCTGTTGTTTTCCAAAGAGGTCTATTTCTTTGTTTGGGAAATTAAAGTCCCTTCACACATTATATGATTTTCTTTCCTTATTAACAAAGTATTAATCTTCTAAAGACAACCAAGCAATAAATAACAAATTACTGAATGAGAGAATAATGAATATGTGAATCATAGCAGGAATTTGAAATATTAATTATGGTTAGACATTTTCTCGCATTGATTTTCGTGCCACATGAATGAAACAGAAGTATTCTTTTCGTTTCAGAAGGTCTGGGGTAAACGATGGTGACTGTGCCTTCAATTGCATCGTGTGCTGCGTGTGACTACTTTTAAACACTAGAGGGGGCCTTAGATTTAAAGAAACAAAAAGGACTTTTCTAAAATGGATGTGTGGTTTATTTCGCCTTCTGTAAAGCACTCTTTTGGCTATGGGATTTAACAAATAAAATCATAATTGTTTGTATCTTTGACTTCCTAAGCAGTCTGTTACTTTTGTTTCTAAATCGAGTGGGCAAGTAAGTGCTTGGCACTTCCTGTTTCAAGTCACTTTGTATTTTTGGTTTTTAAGTGCTTACATTGCATATACTTTTATATGTCTTAAGATTTGGAGAGTCTGAAATTTTAACACCTTTTCATAGTCCTTCAGCAACAGCTGTTTCATTTGCGAGTGGCATTTAACATACTTAGACTGATTACTAAATTATTGTCAGTGCCAGGGAGTCGAGTGTGACCACAGTAGATGAATGAATGAGCAAGTGAGTGGGTGGGTGGGTGAGTGAGTGAATGTTTCCTCCTCATTACTACATATAATATTTTAATATTAATGTGAAATAAAATTTACCTTTAAAATGTTTGTGATTCCTTTTCATGGAGAAAGTCTGGTCTCCACATCTAAGGCTGGCACATCCTGCATGGGAGGGGTGCGTCATGTCTGCCAGGTATACATCGTACCATATCTGTATAAACTTGAAGAGTTCCTTTTCAGGGGTATCCCAGTGATTTCTTTCTAGACCTGGATTCCTGCTGCTTCCAGCAGATGTGTGAATTTGAGTATGATTTAAGGACATATCGGGGCCACTGCACAACTTCAGAGTAGAACAGTAGAGTATAACGAGATGACTCTCTCATCCACTTACTGCTCTGTCTGGATACTGCCCAGCCTGAATCTGAGTTCTCAGATCGCCCCAGTACATGTTGCTTGTCCTCAGCCACCTCAGAATGGACTGACCTGGTTTTTGCAGTCTGGAGAAGGGCCCTCTGGTAGCTATGTATGGACTAAAAATTTGGCCTCTCATTACCATTGTGTCCAGCTTGACTGGACACCTAACTTGATTTTTTTTTTATTGATGTAATTCACATACCATAAAATTCACCATTTTAAAGTATACGATTCAGTGGGTTTTAGTATATTCATATGGTTGTGCAACCATCACTATTATCTAATTCTGGAACATTTTCATCATCCCCTAAAGAAACCCCATACTTATCAGCAATCACTGTCTTTTCTCTCCTCCCCTCAGCTCCTGGCAACTACTAATCTACTTTCTGTCTCTGTGGATTTGCCTATTCTGGACATTTCATGTAAATGGAATCCCAAATTTGATATTTAAAATTGGAAATATTAGAGGGGGCTGGCCCGGTAGTGCAACGGTTAAGTTTGCATGTTCCGCTTCAGCAGCCAGTTTGGATCTCAGGTGTGGACCTAGCACTGCTTGTCAAGCCACGCTGTGGTAGGCATCCCACATATAAAAAGTAGAGGAAGATGGACATGGATATTAGCTCACGGCCAATTTTCCTCAGCAAAAAGAGGACGATTGGCAGCAGATGTTAGCTCAGAGCTAATCTTCCTCAAAAAAAGAAAAAAGTTGGAAATATTGGAAAACCTATTTTTCTATAACGAGTTTCTGTGGTATACAACGTTTTATCAGATGTTGAATTAAATGATACAGCGATTCAGAAGGTCAACATAAGGATATAACATCCATCAGCCAGTTAAGAATATAGCTCAACTGTTTTATTGTCCATTACCTGTTAAAGCAGTGACCAAAAATAATAGTGAAAGGTAGATAACATTCTGCTGTAACATCTCTGAGCAGTCCTCTGGTGCTGGACATGTATTATTGATACAACACGTGTGTCCTGCCATTGGTTGTCTTATCAAAATTGCACGCTTTTCCACGTTGTATAGAGTTTGGAGATAACGAGAAGTATAGTTACCCAGAACATGGGTCTATGAGGACAGAGGTCAGGTCTATTTTACTTTCTGCTATATTCCAGGACTAAAATAGTGCCTGCCACAAGAAGGCACTCAATATTTGCTGCCTTCGAAATGAAGAAAAGATTGTGTATGGTCTGCCAGTCAAAATAGACAAAAAATTACTGATGACTGAGCTGCTGGGGAAGTAGGCTCTCCTGGCCTCACTGCCCGGGAGCTTTTGAAGTTGAGAGGTTGTGTTTGTTGTATTGTTTTGCTTTTAAAAAGTTTGTTTCAAATGCATGTAAGACAGTAAGTAGAATAGAGGTTACCAGCGGCTGGGGGAGTGGGAGTGGGGAGTTAACGGTTGAATGGGGAGTTACAAACGGAGTTTCTGTTTGCGATGATGAAAGAGTTCTGGATTATGGACAGTGGAAATGGTTGCACAGCATTGTGAATATGTTTAATGCCACTGAATTGTACACTTAAAAATGGTCAAAATTTTATGTCATCTATATTTTACCACAATTAAAAAAAAAATGTTTGCTTCAAACTCTGCCTCATGTCTTCCTACCCAGTGTTTTCATGCTGAGAGTTTTCTGCACATGAGCTACCTATCAAGCCATTCTTGAAGACACTATCTTCTCATTCCTTGATTGTAGGAATGGATTAGATACGTCATTATATGTTTGTAGCACCTTTGTTAATAAAATTTGAAATTAGTGAAAATTAACGGCTACTTTTTTCATCCTGACTTCTAAAGGTAAACTGGAGGATTCTTGAAACTTGGAATTGTAATACCTTCATGTTTTATAAAATTAAGGTCTTCTTATCCCTTAGGAAAAGAATAATGACAACAAAATCAAAACATAAAAACACTGGTTGTTTAATTTAGGAGGTAGTCCAGACTGTGAACACAAATTAGATAATTTTTCACAACAGATTACGTCTCCTAAATTAGGCTTAGTATCTTTTTGTTGGTGGTAGTCTTATTGTTAGTTGGTGGTCTTATTAACTGATAGAGTGATTTGTGTGGGAGTGCTGGTTAAAGTCTGGTTGAATAATTTTTAATATGTTATGACCTGAAAATATAAATGCATCTCTCTTTGTTTTTTGGCAACTGTAGCATAGGTCCTGGAGCCCAGACTTTTCAACATGCACTTTTCCTGCCACCTGCGCTGGAGCACAATCATTCTGCTTCTTCCTATCTGATGGGCCCTCTGCTTCCATGACTCGGGAGACAAAGATGTAACTCATCTATCTTAGTGTAAATGGGGAAATACAGGCAGAATTGTTTAAGCACCTAAATTTTTCACCGAAACCAAAAAAACTAGAGTGCTCACTGATTTTGTTATATAACCTCTATTTGGCATCAAATTAGAAGACACTATTGTTAGGAATGTAACTGTAGAAAGGCTGCTATATGCTTAAATCTCATTTTATTTGCTTCTCTGGGGGTTGTCTTTGTGTTTTCATTAGAAATGTTTTTACAGATGTAGGCTCTTCAGATGTAAAGTTGCTGAAGTGGAGACTCAGAAGTTTAGCTTTCAAATTGAAGGGGGGTGGAAATCTGTTTAGAAAGATTAATTTATAGGTAAATAATTTACTGACTCTGCTACGTTAATGTACAATAATCCCTGGAGGCTTCTAAAGATGTAGTCATTATATTCTTAAGGTTTCTAAGAATGTTAAACCCGTCACTCGTAATAGGAGAGAACTAAAATAGGGCCCATTTATAATTTCTTCTTGGAAACATTTCATCCACAAATTCATAGACAAATATTTTTTCTTTTCCAAATAACTTATCTAATAATTGGGCAGCACAGCCCTTTTCTTGATTAACATGTTCACTAGTCAAAAGCATGCAGATACATTGGATGAGTGCTGAATTTCCCTCACTATTTTAGATTAAAACTTGGCAAGAGCAAAGAAAATATTACTGCAAAATCCCACTTTGACATTATTGTACATTTTAGTGAATGCCAACTCAGTGGTGAGAGAGTTTATGCCTAGTAGGTTTGAAATATATTACTCAATTCTCTCGCAGATTCTCATATTGGTGAATAGATTGAATAGGAAGAAAAACATTAAAGAACTGGTTTCATTTCTACAACTTCTTTCTATAATGTGAAAAATTGATAAAGATTTGCATCTTGAAATTTTCATGTTTTCTTGAGAGAAATTCTGAATTTCAAACTACGCTATTATTGCATTACTTGACTTCAGTTCAGATTGTGTGCAAAATGTGATGCCCTGAAGGTGGTATGTCAAATCAAGAATTTGAGGCATTAATAGTCGGCACATAGCTTTAGTCGACCTGTTTAGATTGGATGAGATAGTATAGCAGACTGGGGTCTTCACCTGATTGTTGCCTCGAGGAAGGAAATTTTAATTCCTCAGTTAGCTTCATTGTTGGCAGATGAGATCAATGGTCTTGTCTTGGTTTCTGATGGAAGTTTATTTAGGTAACTAATTGAAATTTGTGAAATTTGCAAAAAGAAAATAAAGGTACCAACTAGGAAATAGTTTTATAAAAAGCCCTCAGGAGTGCTTTAGCCCACTGACTTTTTTCACCAGTAAATGTTGTATTTGCCAGCCCATATTTGACCTACCATCTCTTCCCCTATTATCAATCCACACTTCTTTCTCTCTTACCTCCCTGTGAATGTGTAAGTGTTTACCAGGAACAAGTGACTCCTCAAATTTATCTTTCAAAGATTCTTTAGAAAACCCTCAAAAAAGATGAAAAAAAGGAAGGAAGAAAGAGAGGGAGGGGAGGTAGGGAAAGGAAGGGAAGAAAAAGAAAAAGTGAGGAGGAGGAGAAAGAGTGGAAAGAAGAGCTCACACCCCAATTTTCCTTTAGTCTACCTTTTCTTTTCCTTTCCAAGGTCTGTAAAGTTGTCAGGTGGTTTCGCTGGTTCTGCTATTATCACCTCTTGTATTATCATTTGAACCTCAGTGCCATTGTCCAATCTATCTGAACATATCTATGAATCCAGCAGTATACATACACAGGAGGAGAAATTGTCAACCTAATATGTTCTGGCATGAATCCAACTTGAAAACTTGCTGCATATGTACAGGAGTCATTTTAATGCTACCTTCAGTGTGTGTACATATTGAGCAATTCCAAGTGGCATACCCTCTACCAAATGAAAAGGAATAATCTGTCCATTCCACCGAGATCAAATAAAGTAAGGAATTCATTTCCTTATATATATGTAAACTTTATGGAAGTACTTTGTTTAGTGTAAAATTCTATATAGTTGTAACTAA